CCGTAAGCAACTTTTGCGGTAATCGCAATGGTATCTCACTGATTTGACGCGAAAATGCAACTGCAGGCCAAGTCAACTAGCTAGGAAACGCGCTGCGGGCTAGCTCCTGCGTTTTGCCACAATGCGGACCTTCCAACACACTTGCAGAATTCTAGGGGCATTTCAAGTATACTGATTTCTCTTGCAAACTACCAAATTGGCCTTACCCAGAATAAGAGACCGCCTCAATTCAACCCTGCACAGCTCTACACCAACATCGAGGGGCACCGTTAGGTCACCGCACTGGTGGGCGTGGCCTGCGGCGCCGCAGACGAGTTGTATGCGGCGTCGCGTACGAGTTGTGTTGTCTCATGGCTCGTACAGATGGTTTAAGGGATCGCAGAGGGGCGGTGCTATGGTGTCTTGATCGAACGTTAACGAATGCAAATCCCATGCTCCGACGAACCCCATGAATATGGTAATACAACTCTTGACTCGCCGCGCGCGACGTGAGCGGCGTGGTTTAACTAGCTCAGGATGGAGTGGCCCGTTTCCCTGCGAATTTTGTAAGTTACTTTTTTATGGTTACCTATATAATTTAGGGCCTGATCAAGCCAGTACAGTCGACGGGCGAAAGGATCGACGGCCAAAGCAGTTGGTCGGACGAGTGATGAGTCGAGGATCACGTCAACGCCCCTATCGTCACTGATGATCGCCATACGATTTAGACTTGGCTTCTTGCCAACATCGCTCCAGAAAATTGTTCTGGAAAAGGCTAGTTTAGCGGAGTTTAGACACAGGAGAAAAAAAATCAAGAACAGTAAGTTCTAATAAGCTGGGCGGAAAATACAACTCAGCGTTCAAATACACATAAAAACATGAAAATTCAGAAATTGGATAAAAGAGAAGGCATGATCAAGACTATCGTGTCACCAGTAGTATGTAAAATATGGGTATCGATTTCCGCTCAAAAATAAGTGATTGCGTCGAAATTTGCCCAAAAATCTCCTCCCATGAGAGACCAAGAAATACATTTCTGGCATTTCTTTCCGGTTTCACTCATTTATTATATTAGCAACGGATCATGCATGAAAATTCCTCATCCCATGTTGCCGGTACAAACTCCGTACTGATTACCTGTGAGATGAATCGATTGCTAACGCATATGGCAGTACTCCTGGACCACGGCGGTATACGGTCTTGAAAAAACGGCCCTCACTGTCCGACATCTGAAATGTGAATATTCATAATGGTACTGGAAATGTTGAAACTACTTGAAGGGTGCAAGGAATCTCGTGGGGAAACTCCGTCCCTCTGCGAGAAAAACTACTTCGCAGCGGGGCGGGGCTTCTAACACAGCTCTGAGCAGAAGGGATAAGCCAGAAAGTTATAGCGAATGCAAACATCTGAAAAAATCAGGTGTTTGAAAGGAACTGAGCTGGTCTCTAGAAGGCCGAGAGGAGCTCTCGTGAACTGATACTCTGGCAATATTCAATAGTTTTCCACTCGTGGAATTCCGTCCTTTATGGATGTTGGAGAAAAAGCTTCCTTCAAAACTTAGGACACCGCTACCTCCAAGGCAGAGCGTGTTGAGGTCACGACGACTTGACTGGTTTCCTGTGTGGCTTGCGCTATTCTGCAATGAGCAGGAGTTTCTTACCGCTTCATGCATGCATGGCTTCCTAAA